CCAAAAATCAGCGATCTTTTATAGTCACCCTGTGCTGGGTTTTTTTCTGTCTAGAAGAGAAATATTTTGCTTTGCTCAGTATGAAAATGAGAGTCCAAAAAGGCTGCAAGTTTCTCAGACCTTCTCTGTTTATTTTACCTGGTCGGCCTCTGTCGGCATCCAACTATTTGATCCTTAAACTAGTATATCTATTAGCTTACTATCACAGCAAGAAAAGGAACAAGATGGCTATTTATTATTGAGATTATTGTGTCATTACATTTTTAGGGCACTTTGTACCTGCCATGGTGCTGAGTATTTCATCTCCTCTGTGTGTGTGTGTGTGTGTGTGTGTATGTGTGAGCGTTCACGCGCACTCCATCCCTCAGTTGTGTCTGACTCTTTGTGACCCCCATGGACTGTAGCCTGCCCATCTCCTCTGTCCATAGACCTTTCCAGGCAGAACACTGGAGTGGGTTGCCATTTCCTCCTTCAGGGGATCTTCCCCACACCAAGGATTGAACCCGAATCTCTTTGTCTCCTATGGAGATGGGTGGATTCCTTACCGCTGAGCCACCAAGGAAGCTTCATCTACCATAATAACCACAAACATCCTATATAGTAGGTCCCATTATATCTACAGGTTGCACTTGAGAAAGCTCTTCTGCAGAATGTTTCAACAGCCCCCCTGCAGGTCAATAATCCCTAAAAAACAGAGGTGATGTAAAATCCACCTTGATATAGTTTCAGATCTTTTTGTCCAGTTTTCACCCTTCCTATGAATGCTGAGAAAACAAAAGAACTACATCCAACACTCATGCTTCTCCAACACTGAAGAAATTCCTGGGATTATGGTTCTCCACTTGTTTTACAAAATAAATATTTGATCTCCAACGAGCACAGTAAACCCTAACTCTTCTCTGAGGCTTGATGTCCTCAGGAAAAACCGGCAATATGGAAGTAGCCCACTCAACTCCCTCATGATGGAGCTCTCAGGTCGGGAGGGTTTTCCAGACTCTTCTATGTCATTCTACAGTCTTTTACAAGCAAGCTCAAAGGTCCTGGGAAATGGAATCTACGTCCTCCACAATATTATTAACTGGTCCTCTATAGCAGGGAGTCTTAGCTATGTGTCTGATCATGTTTCAGATCCTATCTTACTCATCACTGGAAGTTTTGCAGCTGCTTAACGTTTTGTTGGATGATTCACTGATATCCTAAAGGAATGCATGAATGTGATGATGGCACTGATAGTTAGATTCTTTTCCATTTGAGGATGACCTCAAAATTTGATGACTTGAGTAATCCATAATTTTGCTGAAGCCTGAGATTTTGCAGCTGCTTAACGTTTTGTTGGATGATTCACTGATATCCTAAAGGAATGCATGAATGTGATGATGGCACTGATAGTTAGATTCTTTTCCATTTGAGGATGACCTCAAAATTTGATGACTTGAGTAATCCATAACTTTGCTGAAGCCTGAGCTTGATGGTTTGTGAGAACGAATGAGGTAGCTAATGAATAAATCTCCCAAATCACTTAATTTTCTCATTTCCACATGACTTCGTTGATCCTCACTTCTCTATCCCCGCCCCCCAATTTTATTGAGGTATAATTGGTGTCTATACTGAAAGTGTACCATTTGTGGATATTTCATACACACACATTGTAAAAGTTTTTCCATAATCAAACTAATGAACATATCCATCATCTCACACATCTACCACTTTCTTGTTTCTTTCTTTTCTGTGTGGTGATAACATTCTCTGTTAACACAGTCATGCTTGTTAAGGATCTAAGAGGGTCCCCGTCTTTCCAGGATGTTGGATTACATTTTATGGGAAATTCTATTTGTAGTGATGGCACTCATGAATTAAGGATTGATAAAGTTTTGAGAATCCTTTACTTGAATAGTAAAATTCTTCATGATCTCCTCTACAGAAACCAACTGTCTTTATACAGCTAGGATTTTCTTTTTCTTTTCTTTTTTTTAAAGTCAATTCTACTGTGACTCTCCTTCCCCAGTTAGGTAACATACACAGTCTATGTAACAGGATAACCCTCTGAGTGTCCCCTTCCAGGTATACAGGTTAGAGATCCACGTGATTTATTTCTGGAAATTAAGAAGGCAGGGTCCGCCATAATGGGATAAGAGACACTTATGCCAACACATGGGCTTCCCAGGTGGCACAGTGGTAAAGAATCCACCTGCCAATGCAGGAGACACAGGAGATGTGGGTTTGATCTTTGGGTTGGGAAGATTCCCTGGAGTAGCAGATGGCAACCTACTCCAGTATTCTTGCTTGGAGAATTCCCTGGACAGAGAGCCTGGCCAGCTACAGTTCATGGGGGTGCAAAGAGTTGGACATGACTGAGCAACCCATCACTTGCCAACGTGGCAGAGACTTGGGGCTGCACATTGAATAATCTTTTTGTTCTTGTAGCGGAGGTCTGAGTGCAGTTCTGCAAAATGACAGGTGACAGTGATGCACTCGTAACACCCAGCATGGCCACAGGATTTTGCTATGTCATAATAAAAGGAGAAGATGTCACTAATTACTTCATCTCCACTAGCCTCAAATTTTACATCTTTACCACAGGAATAGCTACATCTTCTTTATAAGACACTGTGTGGACCCGCTGCATTTAAAATGTTTAACATAATGCCATACAGTCAGTATGCCAGAAATGTTGACTATTCATTGTGGCTTGAACTGTGTTTCCAAGGACCACAGGTCCAGTTTTCAGCCACTGGGTATGACATTGATTAGTAACCCTCTCTTTAAAATAAACACACCTACATATGGCTTAAGGAATATTTGGCTTCCTTTGTCTTATTTTCTCACATCAGCAGCACGCATGAACACCTGTGCCTAGGCATGTGTGGTGCAAACACACACACACACACACACACAATTGCTACTTCATAATTAAAGAAAATGCCCCACAGTCAGATTGGTGCCATCACGTACTAACTCTGCAAAGTTGCAGAGCTATCATTTTTACCCAAGTAGAAAGACTCCATGGCACATTAAATCAGAGGTTTGCTTCATTTCAGCACTGGGCATTCAGAGCCTGTTGCAGAATTTTTCCATACTACTTCAGGTTTTGTCTTGGGTTGTTGAAAGCTGAAAAAATGGGTTAGCCAAATAAATAATTCTTCCAGTCTTTCACCTTAGAGTTCTATCACATTGAGGGGATATTTTTGTTTAACGGTGCACCTTTAACATATCAGAACAAACAAAGTAATAGCCATTGGCATAAGAAAGAAGAGAAACAAAAACAAAACTACCAAATGATATTAGTATTGTTTATAACAGGAAAAAAAAGTCAGTCAGTATGTAAGGTGGGAATAAACCCTTTGTATGGGCTTCCCTGGTGGTTCAGGCTCCTGCAGTGCAGGAGACCCGGGTTCGATCCCTGGGTCGGGAAGATGCCCTGGAGAAGGAAATGGCAACCCGCTCCAGTACTGTTGCCTGGAAAATCCCACGGACAGAGGAGCCTGGTAGGCTACAGTCCACGGGGTCACAGAGTCGGACACAACTGAGTGACTTCACTTACTTACTTATGGAATATTATGTAACCACTAGAAAGAATGAATGTAGTCTGTATGTATTTACATCAAAAGAACTCCATATTGATTTATAAAAGCCAATCAGAAATGATGTGCATACCATGACACCATTCATATAAAAATCATACGCATGCCACTGCATTATAAATGTATACTTATTACACATGCACACGAGAAAGTGTAAAATAAAGGTATAGATAATAATCTGCAATAGTGGCACCTTCTGAGGGGATAGGTGGGAAACCAACATGGCAGTGGTGTCATTCAAAATATATTTTAGCCTTGTCTTCCTCCCTCCCTTTCTCTCTCCCTCTCTCTCTTTTCATTTTCTAAATGTCTGTATTTTCATGTTTCATGTGTAATTAAAATGTTTAAAATGGAAAATTCCATAAATTTTCCCTTAAGACTGTAATGAAATTGTTATTTTTTTCAATCCATAAAACAGAGGAAAAATACCTTCCATTCTCACAATGCAACTCAACCATAAACATTTTGGGGGAAATGACTACCTTAATTCAAATCACGCTATACATATAATTCCTTTTTTTAAAAAAACTGTTCATTCATTATAAGCCCCTTTGTAGTCTTCATCCTACTCATTTTAATGAGTACTGTATCCCACAAAACTCTAACTTTAACTTACTACATTACATTCTATCTAAACTTGGTACAATTAAGCATGTGATTAGCATATGACATCTTTTCCCATCCCCCACCCCCAAGCATATATCTTAAGAGACATTTCTTCTGAGAAGGATAAAAAATGAAAATGTGTGAATATTTTAATAATTTTTCATATTTTGTAAGTCCTTATTATGAAGTGCTTTGAGACGTTTTCCTCTTGAGCAAGGGCAGAAATGCATTGTCCTGAAGGGGTCTGCAATACACAGTACACATCCTCCTTTGCCCCAGATGCCACTTTGTAACCCAGAGAGACGTGTGTAACACACTCATACATTCTGTTCTCAGTGTGGAAGTCATCATGAGGTACCCTCCAAGGTACTTCAGAAGTCTAATAGCTCCAGAGAAGATTCAAAGCCGGAACCAAATGCTGCAGTCCCATTTCCGGGAATGATTATTGATCACCAAGGAGGTGATGATTAAGGGAGAAACAAACAAAGTATCCACCCTCCATCAACTCATTCTAATTACAATAAATTAAATTACCCATGTAATTCTCAAATGATTCCTATGTATCTCACTCCACATAGGAGTTATTCCAGAGAGAATGAAAGAAGAACATTCACTCCTCACTTGAAAACTAAATTTGCCTTTGTCATGAAATTTATCTTACTGATTCAAGTGGTTCACTGTAGCAGGTCAGCAGCAAAGACACAGTAACCATGCTGAAGCAAATGTGGCTTGTTGACACAGATTCCCCAGTTAAGTTACTTAATAGACTCTGAGGTAGAGACATTTTCTTGTAAGAGGCCAAACTCTACTTACCATTTGTATAAGGGTTGACAGTCTTTTTATTTGTCATTACACGTGCTGTGGCATTATTTACCTATGTACATAGAAAACTCAAATGAGCACATATTCCAGGGCCAGTCCACAGTTCAATTAGTTGCATGCATTATGACTGTGATTACTTATTAAAAACAAAAAACAAAAACTAAAATGCATTTTAATTTATAAAAGGCAGTAGGTGCATAACAAAATCATACATTTTTATAATTACATTTACTTCATAACCATTTTAACTTAACAAATCATTTCAATAAAGCAATGTCATATCATTTAAAAGTTTAATAAGGAGACAGTAAAAGCAAATTAAAAGGAACTGCATAATTGAAGATTGAAAAGCATGCGTGTACTCCATGGTAACACAGAAACAATAAATATTTTTTTAAACATAAAATAAGGTTCATATGAAGGAACATGCAGTGGAGGAGAAGAGGGGAGAGACAAGGTACAAGGGAACATAAATGTCAAAAAAAGGACAAACAAGTTTTAGCCGTATGCAACACTTTAAGGGGGAAGAACCATCGGGGAAGCAACATCTAGCATTCAACACTTGGAACAAGAGCCTTTTACATCGCAAGAATTAACAAAATCATTCAAGCTTTAAAGTCACAGCTAACAAAAGGATAAAAGAGAGGGTGCATCGTTTAACACAATATGGAGTTAACAATCTGAGTAAGATGTGCACTGGTCATATCTCAATCCAGTCAGTGCCTCCCAGGCTAGCTTAGAACGTACACTCATTTACAGGCGTACCAATATCCAAAAAAATAGAGCATCAAGAAAACTTAATACAACAAGTCAAAAAAATTCACGTGGTATATATATGTATAGAGATATATCAGCACTAAATACGTGAAACGGCAGATGGATTTCACCACTTACCATTCACCACCATCGCCAGCATGGGTTTGTATACAGTTACCATGGTTACTGAGAGTTTGGTGAGGGGCCTAAGGATTATCGTCGAGGGTGGGGGGAAATGAAAGGCAAAATATGCAACATCTTACTCCAAAGACTAAAGCATTTTTAACTGGTATTTTTTTTTTTTAAAGTTTTAACAAATACGACCCTATGGTCATTTTGAGGGAGAGCCAGTGGTTGAAAGAGTAGATTATGAGTATAGGAATTTCAGCGTTTATTTATTTTTTTTCCATGAAGAAGGGCCAGATATTGAACAGGAAATCCTGTTTGGTTATTCACGTTGTTAGCAAAAGAATACAAAGATTGAAAGTGTCTTCTTAAAAAGAAAAAAAAAAATGAAAGGTTTCATGACAAAGACCTCTCATTTTTTTTTCCCCCCAACAACTGTTCTCTTAAATGCTATTCATTTCACAATTTGGTTTAATTTGCACACCACTGTGGATCCCTCATCAGCCCTGCAGAGGAAAGAAAAAGAAAGGAAAAGAAAAAGAAAACAAAAACAGAAAACTGCTCTATATTTTGTTTTGCAACACTCTCTCCACTGCTTGGAATCTACTGCACCCATTGATTATAAGACATGAAAAATAAAATAAGAATTAAAAAAAAAACTTTCAGATTAACCTTTCTTTTGTCTCACTTTTGCCATCCACCTTTCAGCAGTAATAAGAGTAACATAATAAAGGAAAATTAAAAAAAAAAAGTAAGGCCAGTTTTCCTTTTTATATATAAATATATATATATAAACAATGAGAAGGGAATAGGGTCACATACAAGACACAATGATGCATCTGAAACAACAAATGAGCGTGAAGCAGACACTTATCAAAAAGATGAAAAGGAAAATATTTTGGACATGCACCTCGATTTTACGGCCCTCTACCACGGTGCCGTGTAATTTCTCCCTCGCCCTGTCCGCATCGGCACTATTTTCGAAAGTTACGAAACCAAATCCCTACATGCAGGAGGGAGAAGGGAAAACAACATGCAGATTATTATTTTCAGTCAACGACCACTGCGGAACGTTCTCTCGCTTTAATTTCTATTTCTTGTCCTGGCTTCCGTTCTGTAACATGCAAATTAGAGAAATTATAAAAGTACTAAAATGTGCAATAAGTAAGCGACAAATGTGAACAAGATTTTTGTTTTCTGTCACCCGTTAGCTGTCACCCCTGAAGAAATCAAAGAATGATACCCAAAATACCTTTCTAAATGTCACTACAGAAGAAAAGAAATCTAACGGAAAGAAAATGAGATCAAAATAAATGTACAGTGTCTTCACAGAGAAGAAAATGAAATAACGAGGGAGAAAAAAAAGGGAACCACTTTCTTGACATGCAAATTAAGAAGAAAAGAAAAGAAAACGTGTGCACAAAATTCAACAATGAATGCCAGAATCTTCTAACATTGCCTACAGAGTCATGCCGTGTGGTTTTAAGACCATCTCTTCTCCATGCAGTTTTAGGGTTATTCAAATTTGTCAATTCTACAGCCTTTATGTCTCAAAAAATAAAAATTAGAAGCCTAAAAAAAAAAAAGGAAAGACCTTTTTTTTTTATAAATCTGAAACTCTTGGCACTAAATCAACAAAATAATCCCATGAAATGAATAGAAATAAACACCCACTGATTGCTAATGCAAACAGGTCAAGTAACATTTTTATATCCCCTCCCTCACCCCTCAAATGACATAAGTGCTTCTGAAACTGTCAGCTTTCCAGACTGCTTTACTAACCCCAAACAGAAATGTGTATACATACGGTAAAGTTCTAAGACATTATGCTGATACTCATTTGTCAAATCAACAGGTAGAAAATTCAAAACCTCCTTTAATAGAATACAATTTACAGTAACACTCCAGGTACGTCTTTTACTGATCAATAACAAATACACTCTTTTCTGCACCACTGGTATATTTTGCTTTAATAGTTCAGCCTCAAAAAAAAAAAAAAAAAAACAAAACCCTACACATCACATTGTCAAAAATCCATCCTTTTTCTTCACTGATACTGTTCCTAAGAAGAGTACAGAAAATATGACACATTATTTTTAAAACCCCTAAAAATATTTGTACAGCTTGTTCAGAAATATACACCAACCATTTGAAACAATTTCAGTGTAAATCTGCCCAGCTCGTTCTGGTCTTCACAGTATAAACAGGGTAAAATAATGCAATGTGCCAAGATTGCTCTTTTTGTTTGGTAATCTTTACTTAAAGGAAAATGTTGGTGTTAAGCTTAGCTGGAGCAGTAGGACAGTCAGTCATATTAATAAAACAAACAATTACAAATCACAGCTGTTCATAACCAACTCCTGTTAACTCTCAATTCCTCATTAGGTCATGAAAGAAATCTCTGAAACTCAGGGTTTCAGAGAGCTGTTTCGGTTTCAAAGAGCTGTTTCCCAAGGTTCCAACAAGTGAGAACTTTCCAATATTATGATGGGCTCCTCCATAGAGGATAACAGCTATGGATGTAGTCAAGTTAGATTAGATGGTGATCTGATAGAGAAAAAAGAAAATTCTTCACTTGGGGGATTAGACTGAATTACCTTTCCTATTTCCCATAGTGAGGATCTGTGATAAGGACAGGTCTGAATTATTTGACTAATCTAAGATTATACCTTAGAAAGACCCTACTTAGTCCTGCTCATCACTGATGGGATTAGCTGCATTTGGTACACAAACATACATGCTGACTCATTTTGAAATAACAGCACGTCAATGGGCAAAAAATAAAATCTGGAGGGTTGGTACTATTTGATGCCTCTGATTTGGCCACTGGGTCTCAGATTCAGTTATACAGCACAAAGAACTGGGGGGCATATGAAACAGTCAGATTTCTAAGTCTTGACACATGTTTCTTGGATCAGAATCCCAGAGTGGAGCCCAGAAATCTGTTTGCTGAAAAAATTACCAATGTGGCCCAGCAATTGGGTTTCCATGGCTTCTTCTATCACTAAGCAGTGTCTGACTCTTTGCAACTCCACGGGCTGTGCCATGCCAGGCTCCCTTATCTGTCACGATCTCCTGGAGTTCGCTCAAATTCATGTCCATTGAACTGGTAATGCTATCTAAACATCTCATCCTCTGATGCCCCCTTCTCCTTTGGTGTTCAATCTTTCCCAGCATCAAGGTCTTTTCCAATGAGTTGGCTCTTTGCATCAAGTGGCCAGAGTACTGGACCTTCAGCTTCAGGGTTAATTTCCCTTAGGATTGACTGGATCAATCTCCTTGAAGTCCAAGGGACTCTCAAGAGTCTTCTCCAGCACCACAGTTAGAAAGCATCAATTCTTCAGTGCTCAGCCTTCTTTATGGTCCAACTCTCACATCTGTACATGACTACTGGAAAAACCATAGTTTTGACTATACAGAATTACACTGCCAGTTTCTATAAAGCAGTTTAGGGAGTGGAGTGAGTTTTTATGGTGAATATCTATTTGACTTGGTGATTCTAATCTTAAATGTAGGAATCAGCCAAAATCACACAGAAATGTTCTCCTCCTGACCTCTAAGGCTGTAGCATCCTGAGCCACGCCATACATTTAATAAATAATTAGGGAAACTAGGACTGCGACTCTATCTGGGGCAATTCTCCCACTTGCCTAAGAAAGGAAATCCACAGTTCAATGTGATTTATCCATGGAGGATTTGGTGCCATCATTGCTGCTAATGGGTACCAGCAGTCATTCTCACTGCAGTGCTAGGAAGAACTGAACACTCAACCCACTTGAATAACACAGTCCCCACAAGTGGAGTCATAAAGATTCCAATCTAAATCCTGGGCAAACCATACTGGCCTAAAATCTGCATCCTGGATAGGAGGGAGAGATGAAACTAGAAATAGAAACCTCTTCTGAATCCCAAGTTCATAAACTAAAGAGGAATTCTACTACATTTTTACTTTGCTTTGAAGTAAAACTAATATATTGATTCTTTATTATTATTATTCTTACTCTTAATATTTTCTGCTAAACTTTTTTTTTTTTGAGTGGTTCAATACATCTCATTTCAACCTGCTGAGAAGCCTAGTTGAAATTTGGCAAAGCTGGGTTCATGAAGACCTTGCTGCAGAAACAGTCCCACAAATGCCAAAGGGCATGTCCCATGGGACCATCCTACCTCCACCCAGCCAAGTAGTCATGTGACATCCCTGGATCAGAAGATAGCCAGGTGCTTATCTGGGGAGCCACACCAGGGCCAGACAGACTGCCACCTGGCCATTTTCAGGCACCCACTCCATCAGACACAGAAGCTGGCAACTTGGAAAGTCGGTGGCAACAAAGCTTGTTTCTGTTGCCCTGCCTCTTGGTCAGTGGGCTTCCTGGGTGGCTCAGATGGTAAAGAATCTGCCTGCAATGTGGGAGACCTGGGTTCAGTCCCTGGGTTGGGAAGGTCCCCTAGAGAAGGGAATAACTACCCATTCTAGTATTCTTGCTTGGAGAATTCCATGGACAGAGGCTACAGTCCATGGGATCGCAGAGTCAGACGTGACTGAGCAACTAACACTTTCACTTCATGGTCAGTATTCTGTCTTAGGCAAAATGCAATACTTGGCATATTCTTAAAATTACTCTGAATTTTTTTTTTATCTCAGTTTCAAAAAGAAGCACCTTTTGGATGTGGCTCGGAGAACACAGGAACTGAGTAAGCTGCAATGATCCCATATAAAGGTCAAGGATGCAGGAGAGGCTACATTGGGCAGGGAGGAGTCAGATGGAGGAGAGATGCTACTTCCCAAGGTTTACCTTGGGCGGGTGGTGCTGGGGAGGTGGCTGAGAGAAGGCACAGCCCTGCAGAAGACATCTGCGATGTTTGTGCCCTGTGATGGGAAGGCGTAAGCCCTAGGCAGATAACGGCAACCCTAACATGGGCCAGCCAAGACTTACTTATTTTTCCATCTTTTTGTGAAATGCACATTCTGGCCTTCCTGTATCCCAGTTATTTTTCTCTTTTCGTCTTGTGGGCTATGTTTTTGTAGTAACACAAATAGAACATTTAGAGCACGAATCAAGGCTTTGAAGCACCCAGGATGGATGCTGTACTGACTTGTCAGCTTACATGAAAACTCGATTCCTCCAGTTTCTGGGGCAGACAGCTCCGATCACCGAGAAGAGGAGGAGCTGTTGATTAAAGATCTGAAGACTCATTTTCCTGCGGCACTAAGGGCTTCACAGCACACTTGTTCCCAATCACCTTTCTCCACATAGCTCCTTCTCCCGAAAAGACCATCCTTCTTCCTTCCCTCCCCTGGGGCAAGT